AAAAAAAAAAAAAACCCCAAACCAAAAAAACCCAAACCCAAACCCCAGAAGCCTCCCTCTGCTACCACCCACACAAAGAGAAAATCTCTGTTTCTGAGCAGAAGCTCAACCAACGCCACGGCTGTTTCCCGCCCAGCTTCTGCTCCATCAAGAGGAAGAACCTCAAGCGCTACGCCCAGAAGTTCGTCGTTGACGGTGGGAATCCCGGTGGCAAGGCGGGACAGCCCCGGCGGGGCCTGCCAAGGAGGGCGGGGGGCACAAGGGCAGCGCCGGCCTTGCCCTGAGGAGGGGCGGCCGCGGGGATGAAGGGCCCGAGCGGGCGGGGAGGGCCCAGGGACGCCGCAGAGGCGGGAGGGGGGGGACAGCGACCCGCTGGCAGGAAGGCAAAGGCCTGCCTGCCCCCGCACCTGAGGACAGATACACCTTCCCCGCAGCGCGGGGAGGATACGCGGCTCCTTTGCAGAGAGGGAGCCGCGGGATGCACCACTGCTGGGACCCGCGGCCGCTCTCCTGCCACCTCTGTGCCTTGGCATCCTTTTGGGGTGCAGAGTGGGGATTGTGGCAACCTGGGGTAGGCTACAGCTGGCCTCTGGAAACCGAGGTGGCTTTACCTTAGCTGGAGGATTTTGCTCAGCCCTGGGTGCAGAAAGGAGGTCACTGGGTTTATGGAGGATGATTCCAGTTTAGCAGCTTATCCGGAGGCGTCACAGAAGCTCCCAAGGCAACAGTCCCCCTTTGTTGTGTCTCACCTGTTTTTCCCGATGTAGAAAAACCCGTTCACAGGGACTGAGCCGCTGAAATGGCTGTGAGAGCATGTTGGTTTAGATAAACCTCTCGCATCTGCAGGTGGCTGCCTCTACTATGTAGGACCCAAGAAGGAGGAAAAGCGTGAGGTGATTGTGGATCCTGAACGGAGGCGGCAAGTCTTTCTGGAAAGCCATTTCACTGAAATTGGGAACCACCTGGGCCAGAAAAAGACCGTGCACCGGATTCAGAGCCGGTACTACTGGCTGGGGATTGTGAAGGATGTTGTGGACTGGGTAAGTTGAGAGCATTGACTGTGTCAATGACACCAGTATTTCCCTGGATGTTCAGGCAGCAGTCCCAAGTGAGCAGCTAGAAGAGCCCTGATGCAGGGAGGATGTTGTTTCTAGTGCCTCTTTCTCTGAAGCCACATACTTTAGTAACTCTGCAGGTGAAACTGTTGGAACGTCCCAAGGCAGCTGGATAGATTGGATGTCTTTTCCCTGAGCATCAGGAATCCTGCACAGGTAGGCCTCCTCGTGCAGGGCAGTTTTGGCCAGCATGGAAACGTGGGATTGTTTCAGAAGAGTGTTGCTGAGTCTAGCTTTGGGCAGCCTGGATTCCTATCAGAGCTGCCCAGTTCCCTAAATTATTGTAACAGGAGGAGCTCAGTGTTTCTGCTGGCTCTCCTCGGCCACTTTACTTCATCTGTTTTTTTTTCTGAAAGTTCCCTGCAGCAGGGCTCTGCAACAGTGTGGTTTGAAAAAGTGTGGTTGCATTGCATGGTCCAAGCGGCTTGTGCTCCTCCAGCATCCCGGGGCTGATGATTTTTCTAGCTGGCAGTAGAAGTTTAAAATACAATAAACAATTGTCTAAAAACAGGGTGAGAAATGTCTTAGCTATAGACCACGTTGAGAAAATTGGTTATTGTGTCAGAGAAAGCTGTCAGGTAAGTTTTGTGAAAGGTGAGCTGTGTCAACCTGTTGTGCTTTGTCCTCTTTTTGTTGCGCCTCGCTATTTTTATTGGGTGGAAGGAAGCTGCTCAGATGTGTTGTCCATCTCATAACCTATCTGAATCTGACAGAATTCATCAGCATATTTTAAAATCCTTTGATATGTTTTTTCCCTGTCCAGATCAAAATGTGTGAAACATGCCAGAACGCAGAGCACAACAAGAACGTATCGCGGAAAGCAAGGCCTGTCAAAGTGGAATCACCCTGGGAAGTGCTGGGATTAGACATTCACGGTGAGTGTTTGTGCCTGACAGACAAGCTTTCCAGGGCTGCCATGCCAGCGTCAGGAAGCGTGGCAGACTTACTGCCGCACGCGCGGGAGTGAAAGCTGCCTGTGTCTGTGTGAGGAGGTGCCAAGGGAGGCCACAGCAGCCTACCAAGGTGCAACCTGATCCGTGTCTCTGGCTCCGTTCCCTCTCCACACACAATGGGAGTTGTGGGCGTGCGTTACTTCCCAGAATTGAGACCATAATGAGTGTATTTTTGCTGACAGAGGTCACAGAAATGTACTGGCCAAATGACATTGCGGAAGAAAGTCGTCGTTTTTGCAGTGATCGTTTTGTTGGGCTGGGTTTTTAACTTGCCTCATTTGGGTGATATTACGGCATCACATTGATTTTTCTTGATGCTTGTTTGTGCAGGACCTTTTCCTGAGACGAGCCAGAGCAATACACATGTCCTCCTTGTGACTGACTACTTCACTAAGTGGGTTGAGGCGGTTCCTCTACAGAAGAAAGATCCTTTATCAGTGGCTAAAGCCCTAGCTACGATTTTTTACAGGTAGGCTCCTCTGTTGCTGGTTGCATTGCACCTCTGCAGTGAAATGGGGTGCACTGGGATGTGTGTTGCAAAAATACTCAATGTCCACAAGACGGTTTGCCACGAGATCAGAACTCTCCCTTCTACAGGAAGGACCATGCAGTGCCTCTCAGTTGCTCTTTACAAAGTACTTGGGAAGAGCCTGTTAATCTCTTGTTATCAGGGGAGGGGAGAAGGAAGCAGAAGTGGTTCTCTGAGTACCCCCAAGGC